GATGGTATTTACTTTTTTTTTTCAACGAAATTCGGGATATAACGCGGTTTTTCTGATGATATATTTTTGATATGCAAAAAAAATTGTAACTTGGCAAAAAGTGCCTTGTTTTTTAAATAGTTGTAATATTGGAACCAAAAAACGAAAAGAGGTTTAAGTGCTCTCAAAATGGTTTTAATTACTAAATTACGAATATTACCCTTGGGGGAATGTTTTATTAAGAAGATCTACCCCATTTTTTCAGAAGTTTCACATTTCCACGTTATTTTCACGTGTCTATAAAAGGGATCTCTTTTAGCTTTAACTATATAAATTGAAAATATTTTACACTACACACCCTCCTACCTCACCCCCTTTTCTTAATAAAAATGTTCTTCTTTTTCATAGTTAAATAAATCTATTGAAAATTTCATACCTCTATTTTATAGCCAATCAAATGCTCTTACTTTCAAACGTGTTTTCCTGATAACCAGAAAAATTTTAGAATTTTTTTTCTCCTAGTGTACCCTAAATGAAATTATACTAGATATTTGTTTGTAAGTCTCTAACAATAGCCACAGCTTCTCTCTTTGGAACAGAAAAAGATTGCATACATCAAAAGAAATAATGATTAAATTATTTACATTTATGTCTTGATGTAAATTTAGGCTTTAATTCCGTTAGATCATTGATTAAATTATTTAAAAAACTTGCTAGACTTGAGACAGGTGTATTAGCATAACTTGTATTTTACCGTTACATAACTTGTACTTATCGCAAGTTTTTTGTGTTTAATAATAATGGCTATAGATAATCATGTGGTTAAGGCTTTTGGCAAATGTATTTATGGATTATATAGAAAGTAAATCTATTATTAACAATAGTCCTAAAATAAAAGCTTGGTATCTTTATGTAGATGATTGTTTTGTTCTTATGGAAAGTGTAAACTATTTCTCGGGGTTGAGTTTTTAAATAAAGAAAATAAAACATTTTAAACAATATTTATCGTAAAACGGCCACAGACCAAAAGCGAAATGATAATATAAAAATATAAACACATAAACTGTCTCAACTAAAGGTATGCGTGTGTGTCTTTTATAAAAATTACAGACTAAGATATAAACCTAAAATAATAATGTCGTATTTTCTTAGACTCAGCATTATTCCTCAATACCATGACATAAACTCTCAATTTTCACGGTCAGCTGCGTACATAGCCATTCACAAAAGTAAACATTCTACAATATCCTTAAAACAATTCAATTCAGTAGGTACATCCTAATATTTAATTTACCCTTGAAACAGAAATGTATGTCCTTCTGAATTAAAATTAACTTTAAATATAAATGAATAGATGTATCAGGTAGATAATCAAATGCATTCCAACATAATCTTTTCTTAAATAACATTTTTTAACTCCTTTCTACGTTTTACAATGAATTTATCTTTGTGCAACCACAGTATATCTTGTTTAAATATTTAAAATGGGATGTTTCCTAAAAGAGCGGTACTTACTTGGTATATTATTTTCAACGTGACATTTTTAAAACCGGTGCATTTCATCATTCATTATATCATGTGTTTAATTTAGAGCTGGATATTCCATTTTGTTCGGGAATATCAATGCTTCATTGTTGAAAAATAGACAAGCGCTGAATTGCTTTTCTTAGAAGATTTTTCTTAGATGTAAATATCCCAATACCGTACAATGAAAACATATTTAACCATTGAACTAAATGAAATTCATTGTCCGTTCAGTGGTGCTATAAATAGTTTATATTCTCAGGTAATAATTTACATAGTTTCGTAGAGTACGTTGGTGTAAATTGTAAATGAATCGGTTTTTTATTGAAATGTTGGTTTTTACATATTATAAACATCTTTAAAACATTAATAACAATCAAGAACACTGTTTTACACCACATTACAAATTGAAAAAGTTGAATAAATCTGAAAACATTAAAGTTATACTTGAAATAAAAATTAAAATTCATATGGAAGACTCAGAAAGTCTTAAAATTAATTTGCTCACCGTTCCGTGAATTTTCAGAAATTCATAATGTTAATATTACCTTACAGTCTGTTCGCTATACTTACACGGGTTTCGGATTAACAAAATTATGCAAATTAGTCATTGACAACCAGTTCCAATAAGCCCTTTCCCAAGAAATTAGGTAAAATTGCCCTGATGGTCAGATTTAAATTAAAATAACATTAGGGTAGGTACTAAATATAAATAAATATTTTACGGATGAAAAAGAAAATGGCGGTCCTTTAAAATCGGTAATGTCTGTACAACAACGCGTATGCGATGCTCTAGGAATTAGTGAAACCAAATTAAGAGGAGTATTACAAAATCACAATAGTAAACTGCCGAAAGAAGATCACCGCAAAACTCGCCCATCATTGAAAACGAAAGATATTCCAGATGGAAAGAAATTTGAAATTCGTGATACCATTTATCGAATGAGGGCCAACAAATAACATGTGACTTTAAATACAATTCTCTCGGAATTAATAGATAGAAAATTTGACGACATTGGCAGAACAAGTCTATGGCAAGTGATACATAACTTGGGTTTCAAATTTCAAAAAGAGGATAACAGAAAGGCCCTTTGTGAAAGAAGTTCTGTCGTGCACAAGAGAATTAACTTTCTAAGAAAATATTCTAAATTTAAAGAAGAAGGGGCGAATTTTATATATTTAGACGAAACATGGATATTTTCTAGGGGTGCAACCAAGAGAATATGGCAAGATGATAACGTAAAGTCCATCAAACATACCGATGGAGAAGGGAAGCGACACATAATTTTACCTGCAGGAGGGAAATCGGGTTTTATAGAAGGTGTTGATTTAATATTTTCATCTAAATCAAAATCCAGTGACTATCACGATAATATGAACACAGAAATGTTTGTAAAATAGTTGCATGAAAAACTTCTCCCAGGTTTAAGTGAGCCCAGCGTAATTATTTTAGACAATGCACCTTACCATTCTGAAGTATTAAACAAAAGTCCAACATTCTTGGACTGTTGATAAAATTAAAGAATGGATGACAAAGGAACATATACCATTTCCTCAATATATATTAAAATCAGAATTATTACGCTTGGCAAATATACACGCAAAATCAAAAACCTTTGTTGTGGATCAGATTATTGAAAGGTACGGTCATCAAGTTTTACGTCTGCCACCGTATCATTGCCAGTTTAATCCCATAGAATATATATGGGGAATAGCAAAACAATATTATGACAACCATATTGGGCCTAATGGTTATAGTGACAACGCAGTTCGGGAAACTTGACGAAAACCACTTTCAATTGCAACTCCAGAAGTGTGGCGGAACTGTATATCCAAGTGCGAGAAACTAATAGAAGATTGCTGGACTCGTGAAAATAAAATAAACGAAATAAGTTCAATTATAATAACAATTAATGGTGATGACAGTGATGATGATGACGATTATGATATTTTGGATGATAATGACTGATTTTCATTTTTGTTGGCAAGTTCAATTTTTTTATTTTTCATTTGAAATTCTCTACATAGAACAAATTTTTATGTTAGAAAATATTTTATTTGAGCTAAATAACCCTCTTATTATACATAGACCATATTTTCTGTGTGAAGTGCAATATAAAATTATTATTAGGTTTATAATAGCCAGATTAGACTCCATTAATGAAGAAGTTTAATTCTGCTTTCAATTATACAAAATATTCTCCATTATTATTTAATTAAGAAGTTGTACATTATTTTTCATTTCATTTAACCAGTTGATATTTCCCCAAAGAACAGGTCAAACTTTCGGGTACTTACCTGGAAATACTCATAAAAATTTTAATCGAAACTCGCGTAAGTATAGCGAACAGACTGTACCTTAAGTGCTTATCAAACTAATTATGTCTATTTGAACGTATTTTTAAATATAATACACAAGATTTAATAAGAATACCAAAGAAACAGAAATTTGCCACAGGAAATACCCTTAATCGGCCGTTCAACAAGAGATTAAAGGTTTTCGCCCTAGCACCTTCGAAATATGTCTAGGGTAGTATAGGTTCCATATTATATGCTGTACGTCATGTTTTGATGATTGACATGTGAGCATTAAGGATGTCCCCAAAAAAGTAGGTCAGTGTAAAGACTATTATTATTTTTTTGATTGGGGCTATCATGTTCAATATAAAGGGTGACAAAGTTAATTAAAAAAATATATATATTATCTTTTCGTCGCTATATTAAGCATATGGTTTAAAAATGGAAGAGCGGGGTTTTTTTGGGATGACAAATCATAATTTGAGCCTAATATCACATACCTCATATTGAACATGATGGCTCCAATCGAAAAAATAATAATAGAGGTTTCTTACACTGACCTAAGGAATCTATGGTTAACGGATTGCCCCATTGTTTGGGACACCCTGTATATATTGCCCGCAATAAGAAAATTAAAATATACAAATTATTTTAACTTGTCATATTTTTATCACACACCTAACCACTTCTAAATAAATAAGAAAACATTATCTCTTAGATTTTATATTATTTGTTTTCTTAATGACGTTCACACATCCTTAATATTTTTATAAACACACATTTCTTTGAAGACTTAAAATACGTTTCCTCTTAAAATAATTCCTATTTGCGAAGATGTAAATCCCGGTGTTTTCATTAGCTTGAAAATGCCAAAATTATTTATTTTTTAAGAAATTCGCTATGTTACAGTTTAATCCAATTCCTGTTAAATTTGTCGTAGCTAATATATATTTTTAAAATTCAATTTAAACTATGTCTCAAATAAGCGGTAATTAGAAATCTTGCTCATCTCACAAAATCGTGTATTCGTAATAAAAAAGTTTTTATTGTTTATTTTTGAGTTTTTATAACACCCTAAATTACTTTTTGTTTATTGCTGTAGTACAATGCGGTATTCAGTTACATTTTTACATAACGTGCTGTTAAATGAAGCTAAATGCAACCCAAAACACTTACCAATATATTTTTTATTGTTTCAGGCGACAAGACGTAGATCATGTGGGCACGCTTTTTTGGCGCACATGGGGAGTTCTGTGCTTCGCATCCGTGGGAAGTAATAGTAGCCACGCTAACTTTAACGACATGTATGTTAACTCTTGATCAACAGCATCCGGCACCACCCCCTAAACCGTCTTTTAGATTTTGCGCAGGGTGCTTAAACGAGGTAAGTTTTTTTTTAACTTGAAATCCACATTGCCATTCATAAATAGAATATTGTTTGCATCAGTTTTATTTAATTTACGAGGAGCGCTGCTAAAGTTCGCGGAACAGGTACATCGGGTCGGTAGTGTATATTCATTTATATTCATTTATAGGCAAGTTTATGAGTCTGAGACTGCTGGGCTTCGAATCCCAGACCAGACCATGTGGATTTTTAATTAAATTGCATGGTTCGGTTTATGATTTGATGTGTGCCGTATTAATAGAAATTCAATTTCTGTTGATATGACATGCAGATTACATGATGGTGGGTGAGGTTTTCCTCACCTGTAAGTCAAATGGCACCATCAATCATCTTTAAGTCGCCCCGGAGCCCCACGGCAAATAATAATAATAATAATAGCCGTCCCTTCCCCTACACAAGTCGTTCAGTCGACTTCAGGGGTTGAAATGCACTCGTAAGGGGGTGAATTAGGGAGAGTATTATTATTATTATTATTAAAATACAGAAAAAATCATTGAGCGATAAATGAGGCGAATAAAGGCAGTAAGTCATTAATTATATTATTATATATTGTTACTGGCCAAAACTCAACAAATTGTCGTGCTGTGTGATCACTTGCATTGTTTGCTTTTAGTTCGACAAACAAATTGAAGTATATAACTGTCCTTTTATTATCCTCTAATGCAACAGTTGCACTATGGCCCGTTCTTCCGAAGAAGAAGAAGAAACAAGCAATCATTTTTTTAGAATCGCTTCGTGAACGCAAAACTTTTGTTGATTTAGGTCAGCAGGTTTAGGTCAGCGAACATTTGGGATCGGAGTGTCAAATTTCTTTAAAAAAACTATCAACTTAGGTGCCGTGTCACATCTAAAAATATCAATAATATTCTGATATCAGCTGTAGTAAAAACAAAAATATTTATATTTTTTATTCATTAATTTATTTATTAAAAAAGAAAAAGATAAGTAATTAGTAACTTTTGATAAATCTTCAATAATAATTGAAGGTTTGTATTTCGTACAATTTAATAACAAGGAAGCGCTACTTAGGTACTTCACCTTTCAGTCGGTTTTTTCTTTTTGTTCAATTTTATGATTTAATTCTGAAAATAGGGTCAAAAAAAGTACGTTGAGGGAAAAATTGCAAATAAAGCCGTTGTTAGATTCTTCAGGGTGCTAAAAGAGTCCGCTAATTGATTCCAAGCACTCAAAATTTCCTGTTCGTAATGGCATTCTACTCCTTTCTCGTTCTCCAAACGATTTCTTTCCAGTTTCTCAAGCATTGACCTCAAGTCGACACTTGAATCTAGATGCTGTCTTCAAACTCATCAAGTTGCATCTCCAATTATAAGATCAAACGAACTTACCTGAAGTGAAGTTTGATCTTAATTATATGATGCCTCGTCGAAGTAAATAAGATTATATTGTCGACCCCTGTATATGCTTCGATTCGACCACATAGTTGAAAGATGAAACTAATTGATATATTCCCTTCTTCGCTAATCCCCTTATCCCAAATACTTTGCTTTAGTCATTAAAGGGGACTTTAGAAATATTGGGTGGGTCTGGGACTTCAACGAGGCATCATATAATTAAGATCGAACTTCACTTCAGGTAAGTTCGTTTGATCTTATATTTCTGCCTCGTCTCGTAAATAAGATATATTGTCGCTGTCTAAAGCATGTTGCAACAAAAATTACGATAATACATTTTATTTATATTTAACTGATTACAAGTTAAAAAATTATATTGTCACAATTGACCCACTTTCTAGAAAACTTAAGATGTAGAGATATGTCATGTGCTCTAGGAGGAACATTGATCCATATCAATTACTCAAAATGAACTTCATCCGTCAGCTGATGGTCTGCGTAGAGGCAGCATGATGCGGCTTCCTAATTATAATGAACAGAGGCTACCACAATTAGCCCTTAGGTCTATAATTTTTTCTATATACTTTAACAAGGTTGTTGCTACGCAAATACCTGGGTATATAAAAGAAAACGGAAGGTTTAACATGGGATGAACTCTATTGTTAGCTGATATCTTTACTTTTTTCGTTACCTTTATCTGAATGTCTTGTTCTTTTTTGACAATATTATGTGTCTATGGCTATAAAATTTGAATGCGCTAACCAATATATAAGATCAGTAACACTGCTAATTTATTGGTAAGGTTTCGACACTACATTTTTGTGTCCCACGTGTTTCTTATTTAAGCACATCTGGTCTTAAACCTAACAAACTTCTAAAAAATCTTTTTACCTGAAAATATTGTGCCATTTCAGGTTCAGCTATTTGCGCTATATCTAATCTGTAACAGTTTAGTGAATTATATGATGAATCGCTATAAAATTGTCTTGTTAAATATTCTAACATGGACTTAATATCGCACTACAATATTAATCGCGAGTTATATTCTTTAGGCGTACTATCAGATATCCATTTGAATATTCTATTTGAATATATTTTTTTAACGTTTATTATGAGGTTTAGTCATCGGTACACTTTGTTTTTGAATTTACTAGGAAATATAATATAGATGTGATCTTTACAGCACATAAACAAAGACTGAAGCAAAGAATTTGGGATTAGGGGATTAGCGGAGAAGGGAATATATCAAATAGTTCCAGCTTTCAACTATGTGGTCGAATCGAAACATATACAGGGGTCGACAATATATCTTATTTACGAAACGAGGCAGAAATATAATTTATCAATTTGGATCCATTGGAAACCATTTAATTTTAAAGTAATGTATAATGCTTCATGAGCAGACATGATTAAAGGAATTGTGATTTATTGGGTGCTAATTAGTGTTTTGACAGTTTTTAGCCAATGACCTTCCAAAAAGTTTTGACGTGTCACATTTGAATCGTAGCTTCTCCATCAATGGTTTAGGTTTATTTTGAAACACCCATAGGGTCGATTTCTATTTAGTTTCAAGCTTATATGAATATATTCAAAATTCGTCACCTGTTATGATGTTATATCTACAGTGCTCTTCATAAAAGTATCCATCTTAAGTAACATTTAAGGGACTGATTTTAACAATAAACAAAAAATATATTAATATTCGAAAGGGGGATATTGTGTCATATTTAGGTTTGTTGGAAATGCCACCACCTTACCTCTGCTGTTATTCATTTAATTTCTTGACCCTTTTGTGAACCATATAACGGTTATTTATCCCCAAATTCACACAAAAATCTCAATTCGAAATTTTCATTTTTCACACAATTAAATAATTAACTTCTGTTTACATCTCAACTGAATTATAGGTCAAAAACGTCACACTTAACGACTATGACAACTGCAGAATGCTGGAAATACAAGGATTACTTGATTCCGAGAACTTTAGCAGTGCTTTTCGTACACGTCATGTGTGCCTTAAAAATGTTTCTAAAAATAAGGCCATGAGCGACAAAGACAGGTATATGAGTCATGTCCATGATAACTACGCATGGATCTGAACTAAATCCAAACTGACACTTAAAAAGAATTGTACGCTTCGACATGCGTGAATTTTTCCAGGGCCTACTTTAGAAACATTCTTTGTGGATCACTCCATATATTTATCATAATTTTAATAAAAGAACATAAAGATTTATTGGTATTTTAGTATGGTAATGGTTAGTAAAATATAGTTTTAAAGATTATATAAAAAGGGATAATGTATGTGGACCCTTTTGTTATTTTTAAAACCTGTAAACGAGTTAATAAAAGTGTAAGTTAATTTCTATTCAAATACGAAGGAATGCCAATTTTATCCGTATAGATATTCAATAACAGTTCCAAATATTGAGGACCGTATATTCTCTACATCGGCGGTGGTATATTGCTGACCATGCTGTCCTAATCGGCGATGAAAATGTGAACCCAAACGTAATTAGGAATGGTTGATTCTCTTGCGCTAACCCTGTCCCCTTTCTGCATTATTTTTTTTTATATTTTACTACATAATTCTCCTTAACAGTAACACACTTGTAATACGAAGAATACTAGTATCTGTAGACCTAGACAAACCAACTATCTACAGCTAGTATGGGCCTTTTCTTTGGTTGAGAATAAAATTTTGGAGCTTGGTTTTACTCGGTTTGAATTAAAAGTATGTTCAAAAAATTACACACTCATTCGCAGTAACCCAAATCATTAATAATTGATATGGGTATGGATGGAAAAATAGAGGTGAGAGTTAAAAATAGAACTCAGAGCTCAACAAAATAATTATCCTTTTAATAATTTAATATCATATATTATTATGAAACAGTTTTGTACACTCTTCGCCCTAAAAATATAAATATTCTAACGGGTATTTCAAATTATAATATAGACACAAAATTAGGTTTGTTTAAAGCAGATGCCAGTGTTTAAATGTGTTGCAAAAGTTTACTAATCCTTGTAAAGATTTCAATTTATGAGCGAGTCAATAAGAACATCAACTTACGAGCTCTGAGTCTAAATATGTATAGTATCAGGTGTTTTTATTTCATTATATATTCACCAGAATCAAAAATTGTGGCTTCTTCATTTTATCGGTTGTTTTATCGTTTCTTAACAAAATCAGTGGGTTGGTTGTGTGAATTCCAACACGACTAATTTTCGGATATTTGATCATTATCATTGAATTATCTTTAATTGCGTTTTCCAGGAAGACATAATAAATAGACCATAGTCAAAATCGCTAGAAAAGATTAACAAATCTGATTTGGCATCCGCTAAGTTTCTTGTAATATAATCTAATTAAAAATTTCAAAATCTCTTATAGATGGATATATCGGACAAGGATATCAATATGGTGAAATTCAGAAATTAGTTCTTTCAAGTACCATCCATTATAGTTTATTAAATTGTAATGTAAACAATAGTGACATTGAATAGAGTTAACCGACACGTGATATATTTAATACACGGTGATATTTGCTAGTGAAACAATTGGAAAGTACCATGCGTGCCATTGTGTAACGATATGTTTCCTATTGCACTGATTACATGTGTGTA